GGGCCTTGTGCCCCCCAAACTTTCCTGTGGGACCCCCCCAAAGCACTAGGGACCCCCCAAGGTGGGGGGCACCCCCTCAGCACCACTGCCCAGTACTGGGCCCCCCCATCGCACTAGGGGCCCCTTGAATCCTCAGGGAGCCCCCATGGGGGGGGCAACCCCCCCCGCACTAGGGACCCCCCCCCGCCGCACTGGGAGGTCCGCTCCTCGCAGCGCCCCCCCCTCCCCAATTGGGAGCCCCCCATGACACAGGAGACCCCTCCCAAACATGAGGGCCCCCCCCCGAAGTGCCTGGGGGGGCACCCTCCCCAATAAAGACTCTGCTGCCAGGCGCCAGTGTCACCTGTGTCCCCGAGGGGCCCAGGCGTCCAGGACCCCCAGCAAAGCAAAGACGCGGCCACGTGGCTAAAAGCAGTTTATGGGGGGGCGGTACAGGGTTTTGGGGGGGCTGCAAAACCTCCATGCTAAATAAAACCAAAAGTGACGGGGGGGGCATGGAGGGGGTGTCCCCAATCCCCCCCCCATAAAAAAAAACCCCGCGGGGTGGAGCAGAGTTGGGGGGCGGGGGGGTCCCCCCATCTCCAGCGCGTTATTTACACAGTCCAGCCCAGTCTGTCGTTCGGGGGGGGGTCTCAGAGGGGCGGCAGGGGGAGGGGGCCCTTGTCGGGTGCGGCCCCCCCCGCAGGCGCCTCCGGGGGGGCGGGGGGCTCGTGGGGCGGGGGGGGCCGGCGCCCCCGCTTGCGGAAGTACTTGTAGCGCTGCACGTAGGCGCCCACCAGCCGCGCCACCTTCACCGGGTTGATCTCCCCGCTGCGGCTGTGGCAGATCTGGGGACAGGGCTCATGGGGGCGCGGCCCCGGGCACGGGGACCCCCCGCCCCCCAAAGGGACCCCCCCGGCACCTTGTGCACGGCCTTGCGCAGGATGTCCTTGTACTCGTCCTTGGTGATGTCCTTGCGCTGGTAGTAGGGCTTGATGGCCAGCTTGACCTCCTCGACAGCGCGCTCCTGCGTGTGCAGCTTCTTGAGGTACTGCGGGGACAGGGGACACGGTCACACGGGGACACAGGGACACGGGGACACGGGGACACGGGGACAGGGGGACACAGGGACATGGGACACGGGGCCAGCTTGACCTCCTCGACAGCGCGCTCCTGCGTGTGCAGCTTCTTGAGGTACTGCGGGGACAGGGGACACGGTCACACGGGGACACGGGGACACAGGGACACGGGGACATGGGGACACGGGGCCAGCTTGACCTCCTCGACAGCGCGCTCCTGCGTGTGCAGCTTCTTGAGGTACTGCGGGGACAGGGGACACGGTCACACGGGG